AGGAAGTTTTTCCAGGAACTTATAATTTTCAATAGTTCAAAAAGAACTCGGTGAAATTGCACTTATCATGCGATGGTTTTTTTTTCTAATTTTTTTTGGTACCTACTTATTTTTGTCTGAAAAACACGAATTTGGTAATGAAAATGTGAACAAACCACTTTATATACCCATGATGTACTTCAATGGCAAATTTTTATATGGAAAATTCAACACGAAATGTGATTTTTATGGCGAGTTTTTCATTTTTAGTGAACAATCATACCAGATGACGGCCATTTAATCAATAATCAATCCAAATACGAGACGTGGAATGTCAACAGATTGCTTTTGAATGACGTTTCACACAACATTATTTCAAATGATGTTCTTCCTTCTTCTCAGTAAATATGGATAAATCGTAAGTTAATAATAATACCAATGCAATGACTCATCACGCTTGGAACTGACTCAATATGATACTTTCTTATTCATTTCCACCTTTTCTAACATGAACTATTAGAAATAATCTGGACCACCCTGTATTGAAAGTTAATAATTTACTATTGATAAAAAATTAGAAGACGTATATAAGTATGTGTAAAGGTACCCAAAATGATTTGTATAAGTACATCTGATGACTCTTTGATGGACATTTATATAGCAAACACCTTCAATTTTCAGATTCGCCTGATTCGACGAGTTATTGAAATGTTTACAGAAATATCAATCAGAATTTTGAGTATGTTTCCTGTATTATGATTTATTCTCTATAAACATATCCGAACCACATAAGAAATATATCAGTCGTAGTCGTGCTGATAATTATCTAGATAGCTGGGACCGCAATTTTTTGTTTGTTATAGCCACTTTGTGTTTCGTTGGTTGCATATATGCATACTACGATAGATACGAGTACGTTTCTCATTAATTCCCTAGGTACTTTTGTTCATCATTTATTCATCTAGGTAAAAAAACAAGTTGAATCTCATTGGTGGATTTCTGTGAATAACGGTAATTTCTCAGGTTGGAAACATGGTGTGTTCTGAAGCTAGTAGTGGATAGGGTCCCTTGACGTATTGACGTATTTGTCATCTTAACAGGGTACGGACAGATCCTCGTCTCCTCTCACTCTAAAATGTTTGTGAAACAGTTATATAGTTCCATCTTTATTCAATTTTGGGGATAAGCACTAGATTTCTGACATTTGTTGTTTTTTAGGTTATATTAAGGACATTGGCGTATCATACGTAATTTCCACATGGCATTCCTGATTCAACTCATACATATTATATTCAAATGAGGATCAATAATTCTTGAGTTTTCGATTTTTCAACTCCAGTATAATTGTGAGGCAGTGAGCATAAATCTTTCTGGAATTTTAATATGTTTTATCATATGGGACTCTTCTAATGGTGAGAACTCTGATGTCCTCATATATCATATGTGCTGTATATTCATATATTCCTGTTGGGTACATCATTTTCGCAGTTTTTTTTCGAACATTTATATTTTCTGAATGTAGGTATTTTTTTTCAAATTAAATTTAAATCGATACTCCTTCCACTAAAATGCATTCAAAAAATTGTGGTGTGGATAATTAGGCACAATGAGAAAGTATAATATGTTATTTCGTAGTCCTACCTCACATATTTTGCTGATGTATTTACCGATTTTCCAAATTTGGTCTCTTCACTTTCCATGTTCTAAGTTCATTTGCAATTGTTGGAAAGCAGACAATTTCAAATTTGCCAACCAACTGATTACCGTACGCAGCACATCATACCATCCTTCCAAAATAGAATTGAATAATGTCGTATTAAGATTGAGCACTAATTAAAATGTTGTTAGATTTCTTTTAACGCCTATGGATGTGATGTGACAGCAATGCCATATCAGGGACGCCAATACACAAAACCAAAGTCACTAGATCATTGAAAGAGAAAAGAGCTATGATCTGCCCGTACCCTGTTAAGATGACAAATACTAGTAGTGGAAAAAATATGATTATATGTATTTTGGTCAGAGTAAGCATCATCACGATATTCAAATAGAGGCAATTTATAGTTACATGTGGGAAGTTTTTCTTTCAATTAGTTGATCAGCTATACCCATATAATTTCTTTGATGAAGTACAAGCAGGTCCAACTCCTTGTCAACAACGATAAATTGTAATTATCCGAATTTACGATTGTTGGCGAAAGCTTTAAACTTTAGCCAACCACTCGAAAAAATAATCTATGATAAAATGATTGCTTCGATTCCAGAATATAAATATAACAGAGCAAAGAGAGTGTGTCAAAAATATCTGAATTTGAAAATTCTATTCATAAATGTTCAGGTTCTGATCTATTTTCCAACAAAGGAACATGAAAGTTCGATAATGTTGTCAATCAAAATGTCAATGAATTTTAGGTAGATATCTGTTATGTACTTATCCAGAAACGAGGGGAAATTCGCTGAGGAATTTTGGTGTACACTTGTGTGGAATAACGAGGAATTACAGTGGAATTGCATGGCATTGCGAGGAATTGCGAGGCATTACGAGGCATTGCGAGGAATTGCGTGGCATTACGAGGAATTGTGTGGCATTACGAGGAATTGCGTGGCATTTTAAAGGAATTATGATGCATTATTGGCATTATAGTATGAATTGCGCATGCGTTAATATCTCGATTACGTCATCGCTCGCCACGTGTTCCAAGTTATGTGCTAACGGAAAACGTGAGATCCTTCAGTAGACTGTTAGCTAGGTTAGGAAAAAGACATCACGATATTACACATACGCTGTTTTGTGTCTGTGCTCTGAATTTTGAATGTTATTGTGGAAGTTTTATCAAAAAGAGTTAATTAGTCCATCAGTTAATTAGGTTGGTATTTACTAGATATACAGGGTATCCGGAGATAACGACAAAACTCGTAGGGTTATATATAGGAACTGCCAATATGATTGCAAAATGCCATGTATACAAATAATGTCCAAAACCGCTTCGTTACTGACATACAGAGTGATTTGTTAGTTTGGACAACAAATTAAATCCTCCATATTGAATGCCGATTTGGGTTAAATTTGGTACATGAATCAAACTAAAAGACCTTAACAAGTAGCCCTTGGAAGAAACCAATATCAGGACCAGACTATTCTCTTTTTATCATGTTAAGTTACCCTGTATAATAATTATCAATAATCTGATCTCAGATTCAAATTCTACGGAAAAATACTAATTTATTAGCGTTTATTAGTAAGCAAATATAATCCACAAACAATTCAGCCAATTCCTTTTTGAAAAAGTGCCTATAAGATTTTTTTTAGTAGATTTCAAATCTGCTATCAGATTATTGATGATTGTTTTACAAGGTCAGTTATTCTTACAAGAACTGAACATAATAAAGATTCATTCCGGCCTTGATACGAATTTATTCTCAAGTTTTTTTGGGTAAGTACTTCATCAGACACTTAAATTCCTCCAGCGAAAAAATTGAAAATACCTAATTTATTACGGAATAACTGAAATGGTACCAGAAACTTTTTCAACAAGTTCCTGTAGGATTTTTCACGTAGATTTTCAATCTGAGATCAGATTTTCGATAATTTCTATACAGGGTGAGTTATTCTTACAAAAACACAACATAAAAAATATTCTGATCTTTATATTATTCATTATAAATCGGAATAAATATGAGGAATTGCAAAGAATTGCAGTGGAATTGCGAGGAATTACAGTGGAATTGCGAGGAATTGCAAGGCATTACGAGGCATTACGGGGCATTAGGAGGCATTACGAGGCATTACGAGGAATCATGAGGCATTACTAGTCAATATAGTGAACTAAAGAGCATTATTTTGGCATTGAGGAATTAGTGTACATCATTCTGCTCAGCGAATTGCCCCTCGTCCAGAAATGAGAATGATATATACTTAGATATATCTAATTCTGAGAAAATATGTTATCCATATCATTCATTGAAAAATATTTATTCATTTATCATTATCCAGAATTGGTATTGAATTGATGAAGATATGATTAATAGAAAGTAGTTGTTTTCTGTTTATTCAAACAATTATTTTCTTATTTATCAAAGAACTTCTTCCCAACCAAGGGGTTAGATTAACAATTTATCGCAGAATATCCCATAATCAGAAACGTACATATTATAATATGAATAATTCAGGGTGTGTATTAATTTTAATATCGACACATCATATGTACAGTCGAATGTTAAATTGGGATCTTCATATCAACAGTGTCTGCAAGAAACTGAATACAGCGTTTTTTGCAATAAAGCAAATGCACTTGTATTGTCAGAGAAAGTCTATTAAGTTTTTATTTTGCGATGGCATTCTCACATATTTCTCTCAACATAGCATGGGGATGTGGAAAATATTTTAACAGTTTTTGTGGGGCAGAAACAAAATTTTTCACCACTAGCTATACAATAACCTACCATTATTCACTCCTTTTGAAGGCGTGAAGTGTGTTTTTACTACCAAGGTAGTTTTCGTCCTTTTTTGAAACACTAGTCAATAAATACATAGCCATCTCTGTTATAATTAACCCGAATTCTCTGTTCTGATGCGATAGTCACAGGAATGGCACTCGAATCAAGAAGGCATTTATCAATAATGACTCTTCATATTCTTCAATGGTAATTAGATTTCAAATTGAAAATAAGTGCTTCCATAGTGACATAGGTCCAAATTTCAGTTTCAAAGAACTAATTATAATGATTGAAATATATTGCTAGTGGTGAAAAACATTTGATAAATACCTTGGTAGTAAATAATATAATTACCACGGGAGCTTATATCCCTCGACTGAAGCCTAGGAATATAATCTTGGTCCCTGGGTAATAATGATAGTTTTTACTACCTTGGTATATAAATATCTACTATTCTTCACCTAATGATAATGATAGTTCACTGGGGAGACATTGCTAGAAAAGTAATATATAATATATGAATTTCTGCTGGGGAATTTTTCAGAATATTAGATTTTGAAAGATGAAATGATTAGGTAGACCACTTCAGCTCTCCATCAATTTATTAAAATTAAGAAATCTCCTATTATTTGATTTGTCACATTTTATAATTTCAAATGTTACGTTCAGTAATTTCATTTTCACTAAGATAAATATAGATTTGGGTGATACTGCTTAAAATTATTGTTTTTTTTAATATTCTTTGTACTATTTCTTCATCACTGAATGTGTGATCCATATTAAAAGGACTCCTGACATGGTAATGCCACCTCTGAAAAAATACAATTCAATATCAGAAGGGAATCAGTGAACACCTCATAATGAGTAATGACATTTTTAATTTATGTATATTTAAATGAGTTAGTTGCAGTCCCTTCTATTATGTTCAATTAATCAAAATACTAAAAATGAAGTTGCTTGAGAGACTAATCTGCAGTTTTTTCCAAATATAAAAATACTTAGGATGGTAGATTTGAATTTTTCACAGATTAATCAAGGCACCTGCCGAGTTAACATTGAATGGTGTATCAATATCTAAAATAGCAGAAGCGCTTCTTCCGATGCCACACAACATGTGAAATTAAGTCGTCTCTAGAATGGATTGAGTTAAAGAATATACTCACAATATACAGGATCGAACTAAGGAAGAATGCCTTATGGTGCTATACTGACTGACGTGAAATTTGTCATGCGACTTGAAATTATTCAATATTCGTCTGGCACTGAAACAAAAAAGTCAGATTAACAATGTTTGTTGAACTTTGTCCAAGTTTGATAATTATACCAAACAAAGTAGAAAAGGGGGATTTATCTAGTGTTGCTGTATTAATTTAGAATGTGCTACCAATTTTAGTTGTGGCCACTACAGCTGGCGTACAACCACCATGCATGAGATAATCATCTAAAAATTTGTATTGATGATAGGTATACTTAAGATATTCTGGAGTCGGATAGGTTATGTCTACTTCTTGTTGGAACTGCTCTAATAGATAACCATAGTGGACTTTGAATATACAGTGAGGACCAAAAGTCCGTCGCCCCCCCTGTAACTTCTTTATTCTACATATTACAAAAAAATGTTGAATACATAAGTTGTAGGGTTTCATTCGATATCTTTAATGGTTTCATTCATACAGAGTGTCTATAAAAAGCACGGTGACTTAGAAGTTAATTTTTTTAAATGGGACACCCTGTATTTCATTGGATTTTCAGATTCTCTCTGAAGATCTGATTACATCGATGTATCACACTTGGGGTCTAGCGGAAATGATTACAGAGATATAGGGTGTGAAAAATCGACATTTTTCAACTTTAGGAATTTTTTTGTCGAAACTATTCATTATTGGTCAAAACCGCTCACATGTTCCTATCTCAACTTTTGATCAACTATCTACTGACATTTAATTGAAACAAATACAGGGTGGTGCAGAATTCAGAATCCTGATCACCCGGTATATGTCCCAATTAAATATCAGTAGATAGTTAATAAAAAGTTGAGATAGGGACATGTAAGCCGTTTTGACCAATAATGAATAGTTTCGACAAAAAAAATTCCTAAAGTTGAAAAATGACGATTTTTCACACCCTATATCTCTGTAATCATTTCCGCTAGACCCCAAGTGTGATACATCGATGTAATCAGATCTTCAGAGAGAATCTGAAAATGCAATGAAATACAGGGTGTCCCATTTAAAAAAATTAACTCCTAAGTCACCGTGCTTTTTAGAGACACTCTGTATGAATGAAACTTGAACCATTAAAGAGATCAAATGAAACCCTACAACTTATGTATTTAACATTTTTTTGTTATATGTAGAATAAAGAAGTTACAGGGGGGGGCGACGGACTTTTGGTCCTCACTGTATAAACATTTCAATTAAGAAATAGCCACAATGCTCAAAGTGGAATGATGTTGAATAAATACAAAAAGCTCAAAGTCATTTCCACACAATGTTCATAAAATGAACAACAATGGTAGGTTTCGGGAAAAAATCAACTACTTTTCTGGCTAATGCCACGCAGAACATTGAATTACATCCCCCCCAAATCTATGCATCGACTCGTATAAACGAATACTTGATACAAGTGATTCTTTCCAGAATGCCTATTGATTTCGATTTAGCCAGGTCACGCTAGACACCTACAGACCGGTTTAGAGCTCTTTTTCTCCCATCGGTGCAGATCAGTCTCCAGCCAGCAATCTTATGACCGTCGACTAAGCGTAGCCTAGCCAAACAAAAATCAAGCTTTTTATATTTATTCAACATTTCATTCCACTTTGAGCATTGTGGCTATTTCGTAGTTGAAATTACGCCAGTCGGGCAACCAGCCACTCCCGTATGGGAATTTCAGTGTTGGAGTATTTCTTTCCTTCTTTTCTACTCAGATGGCGTTGCTTTCATATATTGTCTATGAAGGAGGTCGACGCTTAGTCGGAGTTCTTAGGACTGCTGGCTGGAGACTGCCCTGCACTGATGAGAGTCAAAGAGATCGAAACCGGTCTGTAGGTGTCTAGCGTGGCCTGGCAAAATCGAAATCAATAGACATTCAGGAAAGAATCACTTGTATCAGTAATCGCTTATACGATTGGGAGGATGTAATTCAATGTTCTGCGTGGCATAGCCAGGAAAATAGTTGTTTTTCTCCCGAAATTACCATTGTTGTTCATTTTATGAACATTGTGTGGAAATCACTTTGAGCTTTTTGTATTTTATATAAACATTACTAGGCTTCAAAGTGTAATTTGTTGAAACGCGTACGAGGATTTTGTGGTTTCAACTATCTTCAATATCTTGATATTGACTTATTTATTAGCATTCTTTTTGGAGTAACTTCCGGAATTGGCATAACGCCATAAAACAATATTTATTCCTTGGTCGAACATTATTGACCTATTGCACCATTATTCTTAATGCCCGAAAACCCTGAATGTTTATTATTAGCTACCTAATTATTTCGAGCGGACCTTGAGATATTGAGCATTGTGAACGGTCTTACATGTTAGATTAGTGCGAAACCAAAATTCCGTCCACCTGTTTTTAATTAATATTGGCGACAAGCGAATTACGCCAATTTTTTCTAAATTTAAAATACGCCATGTTCACAACGCTGGTGTGCATTTTTATTTGCTATTTTCAGTACCAGAGGAGTCACTGTGTAATATTTTTGATCCAGCGATACCTACCTGATCAGTGTCCAGTTCCAAAATTGGTTTCTGCGATTAGATCATGGCAGCTGACCACTTCATTAATGCCGGAAGGCATTAATGTCATGAACAATCACGTCTGACACATTTGTTGTCAAAATGATAATATATTTCATCAGAGATGTACGAAGGCCTGGAAGGGACACGTAAAATAAAAAAAATTAAAACTCTTCAAAATTCCGACTTATATCTCGGAATTTTAAAATTCCGTGTTATAACTCGGAATATTGGATGTAAAATTCCGAGATATAAGTCGGAATTTTGATGTAAAATTCCGAGATATAAGTCGGAATTTTACATCCAATATTCCGAGTTATAACACGGAATTTTAAAATTCCGAGTTATAAGTCGAAATTTTGATGTAAAATTCCGACTTATATCTCGGAATTTTAAAATTCCAAATTATAACTCGGAATTTTAAAATTCCGAGATATAAGTCGGAATTTTACATCCAATATTCTGAGTTATAACTCGGAATTTTACATCCAATATTCCGAGTTATAACACGGAATTTTGAAATTCCGAGATATAAGTCGGAATTTTGATGTAAAATTCCGAGTTATAACTCGGAATTTTAAAATTCCGAGTTATAAGTCGGAATTTTGAAGAGTTTTAATTTTTTTTATTTTACGTGTCCCTTCCAGGCCTTCGTAGAGATGTTCATATAACTCACGCTATAACTGATATTGATTCGAAGAATATTCACTTTGCTTTTATAGGTATTGAAAAAACACCAAAGTTACTGTATAATATCATATTTCTCCTGAAACAATCTTCGATGAGTTTTTAGGAAGGGTTGGTTCATTTAATATTTTAGTAACTATGAGTATTACCTAACAAAGGCATTTATCGTTGTATCACTGAACGTTTCGAAAGGATCACTGACTGTCGTAACTTTTTGATGTATTTTTTTTATCGCTTGGAGCGCACGAAAGGAAATCCCTATGATGTTCAAAGAACATCGTGCGTTCCCAGGGAGGATAGGGACAGGAGGTAGGTATTGGAATTTTTTTGAACTTCTGGAGATTATATCCTCAGGAAATGAATTCCAGAGAATAGCCGTTTTATGAATGAAGGAGTTTTGATAAAGTGCTTATATAGTTCGTCTGACTGGTATTGCTAGTGAAGGGATGATAGCAGAGATTTCCGAAGAACATTTCCCGTGGAAGTATCGATAGAAAAGTGAAAGGTCGCCGACCGTTCTATGGTGTTCCAATGATATCAAAGAGTGAGTGAGTGTGGCGTCACCCACCAGGCGAATGGCTCTTCTCTGGATGAATCTAAGAGCATCAGCGTATGTTTTGGTGCTGAACCCCATATGTGGGAACAGTATTCTAGAACTGCGCTTTGTAGATCATGAGAAGCTGTTGAGGTGTAAAGTAGCTTTTCGCACGGAACAAGAATCCGAGTTTTTGTGAAGCAGCTTTTGCGATGGATCTGACATGATTATCCCATGAAAGAGTGTTGCTGATGGAAATACCAAGCATAGATATGGTGGGCTTGGTGGGGATAGTGGTGCCAGACATTGAAATATCGGGCATACTGAGTTCCGCCTTTCTAGAGAAAATACAGGCTTGAGTTTTGGTGTAGTTGAATTCAACTAGGTTGTTGGTTCCCCAGGATGTGATTTCAGCAAGGTCTTCATTGACAGCATTGACCTGCCTGCGCCGTGAGTTCTTAGTTTGCTAGGAAGAAATGGGAATTGTGGAAGAAAACGCAGTAATGGAGGGTACTATCATCTGCAAAGCTGTGGATCGGGCAAAGTTCTTACTCCCAACAGATCATTGATCTGAAGAAGAAATAATGATGGTGCCAAAACTGATCCTTGTGGAACGCCGGAATTGATGCCAATGGTATCAGACGATACACCGTCCACCACCACGTGAAGCGATCTGCCTGAAAGAAAACTCGATAAGAGATGGCATAGCTGAGGTGGTAAGCCGTATGCCGTATGCCGTATCCTGTATACGAATTATGTTGATGGAAATGGGCTTATATCACAAGAAATTTTCATTTCATAATTCGATAGAACTCACCCAAACTAGCTCACCACCGCAAACCGTTTCTTGCTGTGAGCTCCCTACGTTTTATAAAAAATTATTGAAATCCCCGATTTTTCAGACCTCTGAAAACGAGGCGATGATGTGACGTCAAAACCCTATTACTGAAACAAGACTATTCCAGACAGAGATGACTGATACATGATTTCTGGCAGAGTGAATTAGCGCGAGATCACAGTTGAAAGAATTAATATATCTGTTGCCTCAGTATCCGTCGGGCGTTTGGTATTTTCTTTAACTATGGCGAGATAGGGTTTCTACGTCATAAGAGGGTCCGTTTTCAGAAGGTACTATTATTTATGTCCAAAAATGAAGCATTACAGTTAATTTTTCGATCGAATTATGTCGTCGATCATTATTTATGTATAAAAGGATCATTATAAACATGGTTTGAGTTGGAATTTCTACTAAGGTATACACGCCCAATGATACTACTATGTTCTACGGAAACTGTATG